TCGAATTTTCGCCTAAGGTTCTGGCCACTCGATGGTTTAAGGGAGACAAAACGTATAATCAACAATTGTATTACCTGCTTCCGATTCAGAGCTCAACCAGCAGAGCAAATTATGGCAAGTCTGCCAAAGGAGCGTGTGAATGTCTCCCGCTGTTTCAGCCAAGTTGGAATAGACTATGGCGGACCCTTCTTAATAAAATCGTCCAAGCTACGCAAAGCTCCCCTAATTAAATGCTATATTGCAATTTTTGTCTGCTTGGCCACCAAGGCAATTCATATTGAATTGGTGACAGGGCTCTCTACCGAACACTTCATCATGACATTGAAAAGATTTATTGCCCGGAGAGGTAACCCAACCGTGATACATAGTGACAATGCCACCAATTTCCAAGGCGCCCAAAATCAATTGAAGGAATTGCATAACTTTTTTAGAAATAGAACCCATTTGAACTCAATCAGGGACTTTCTCTCTCAAAATGAAACTGAATTCAAGTTCATCCCTCCAAGAAGTCCTCATTTCGGTGGCATTTGGGAGGCAGCAATTAAAAGCGCCAAATACCACATCGTCAGGCTGGTTGGGGAAACCCGCTTCACGTTTGAAGAGTTCTATACAATTTTAGTGCAAATTGAAGCCATATTGAACTCACGTCCCCTATGCGTTCTTTCAAACGACCCAAACGACTATCAAACTCTAACCCCTGGTCACTTCTTAATTGGTTCAAGCCTTACGGCTCACCCAGATAAGGATTTAAGTCATCTTAATGAGAACCGCCTTTCTATGTGGCAGAAAATTTCACACATCCAACAAGTGTTTTGGAAGCGTTGGTCAGTGGACTATTTGAACAGACTCCAAAATCGACCTAAATGGTTCCGGAATTCTCTAGATCTAACCCCCAATACATTAGTACTTTTAAAGGAAGATGACACTCCACCTCTAAGATGGCCTTTAGCCAGAGTCTTAGAGGTATTCCCTGGACGAGACAATAAAACCAGAGTGGTAAAATTGAAAACACAAAGTGGTGTTTTTACTCGAGGAATAGCAAAGGTATGTCCTTTACCAATTCAGGATTAAAACCTGCTACTTTCTCTATTGTAAATATGTTGTTTATTTTTTTTGTTAATGTTTCGTCTCTCATTGAAGTTTGGAAACTTCAAGGGGGGGAATATGTTGCGGAAATAACCCACAAGTTTAAAATGTTATTATTTGTAGTTTATCAATATAATCTCAATTTCTATTATTTATCATAAAAATAATATTCTAAAAAAAGAATCCTGTAAAACTGGCAACAGCAGCCCTTTTGAATCGGTAAAATTACAGATTTCTTCATTACCCTATGAGCAATGGATCTATTTTGTTGTTGTGATTGGTCAGTTGCCACCCAACATCCCTGATTTATGCGACCTGCTCCGAAAAAGGCAGTCGACTCGACGCACGGTACACAACAGTAGTAATCAAGAAGCAGAAGAGTAAGCAAAGACTCTGCACCCTCTCGCCTCTGAACGCTCTACAGAGGAAAAAAACCCCCAGAAAACCCCCGTTAGTACGCGAATTATAGTAAAATACTACTCCCAGTGTCTCAAGGCCTGACATGGCCTATATTATCAACGATATTATTGATTACAATTCATGTAATTAACCCCTAAATTGTTGCAAGTCATCTCGGACCTAGCAAAATTCTCTACTACGCCTGTTTAAGGTTATTCCTGTCTCACTCTCGACGGGCTTCAACTCTGTATATCATTGTGTTCTCTCTCTTAGTGGAAAATCCCTTAGCTGACAGTGCAAATTACTACGAATAGTGATAAATGGATAAATAATCACTATATGGATTTACCGGTATGAACTGGATTAAGCAAGTAAGACCGTTTCAATTTCTCAAAACAGTCGAACAATAAATTAATAAATACTGAATACCGATTCGGTTGAAATGCACTATAAATTGAAGTGTTTGTTCTAACCTTTAATACAGAAATTTGGTTTTCACACTCGTGAAATGAACATTAATTTGTAAATTTGTATATAGAAACTGAGCATATATATATAGACTTTTCTTGCACTTATTGTTTACACACTTCAGCAGAAAAGTGCTCAAATTATTAACTCTCAATAAACAAAAGAACCTTCAAGGATTATAAACATTTTGTGAATACAGTGAGCTGATTGAAGTTCACGAATTATTTGTGTTGTGCTCTCGTAAATTTAAATTAGTTAATTTGTGTTCTCGTTCTTTGAACATTCAACCATAAATGATATTATTATTATGAAATTTCACTATTTTTTATAAATCAAGATACTTATTTACTCGCTTATTTACTTTAGATTAGTATAAAATTTGTAGTTCGACTGGACGTCCAAATAGGAATTATTAGATAGGATTTGATTGCTGATTAAACCGAATTAACTTCATTTATTAATTAAATTGATAACTATTCTATTTCAGCGTTTTATTTGTATAAATGAGAATCAAGGCACCCCTAGTTCAATACAAGGCTTAAATGATCCAACACCTAATGGTTAATTTTTACAGTCAGTCAAAGTAAAAACTTTTGACATCCCTGGTGCGGTAATGACTAGAGTCCACAAAAGGGTAATAGCTAGTTCCGTCACAGTTGGTTAAAAAGCGGGTTTTATCATTTTTAAACTATCATCAGATACTAAATTCAGATCAGTTTGGTTTCCAAACTAAGAAAAGTACTGATGATGCAATATATAAATTTTTAGAGGAAATTTACTTTGGTTTTAATGCCGGTGAGGCTCTCGCAGCGGTCTTCTGTGACTTATCAAAAGCTTTTGATTGCGTCAGTCATGGAATTCTGCTGTGCAAGCTTCAAAAATATCATTTCAGAGGGAAGGTTTTGGACCGGTTTCGCTCCTATCTTGAAGGGCGCTCTCAGAAAGTCATCTTTGGTTCCCAAATATCTCAGGCCAATAAGGTCAAGCATGGGGTTCCTCAGGGCTCTGTACTAGGCCCTCTTCTCTTTTTAATGTATATTAATGATCTTGCTTTTGTCAATATTGAGGGTCAGTTCACATTTTTTGCAGATGACACTACTATATTATGGCGTGATTCGAGCGTCGATGCGTTAGAGGAAAAGGTTTCTTCAAATCTCCCAAAAATTAAACAGTGATGCGATGCTAACTTGCTGACTCTGAATGTTGACAAGACCACTATTCTAAATTTTCATTGTAATTGAAATACTCTTTATCTTGGCGAGGATCCTCTTTTGGCTAAGCCTGGAACTAGGTTTTTGGGAGTTTTTATTGATAAGTCTTTACATTTTGACACTCATATTAATAACCTCATGAAAAAAGTGGCTTCAGGATGTTATGCAGTGCGCACAATATCAAGGGAGCTAGGCAATGCTATGGCGAGGAGGGTTTACTATGCTTTGGTGGAATCTCATTTTTTGCGTTATTATGGTATTGTATTTTGGGGAAATGCAAGTAATAACCTAATACATCCTATTTTTGTTCTACAAAAACGTGCCATTCGTTATATGTGTAACGTAAATAGTAGAGAATCATGCAGGCTTCTATTCAAATCTAAAAAAATTCTAACTCTCACATCACTGTTTATTTTGGAAACGGTCTGTATGATTTATAAGCGTAGGGATGTTTTACCAATGCCCGGTCATTTGTATCGCACTAGACGGTCACACTATTTAAGCTTGCCAATTCCTTCCTCTGCCTTAGTTAAAAATTCAATTATTTATGAGAGTCGTAAGATCTAGAACCACCTACCTGAATATATAAAGCTTTGTCCTACCCTCGGACAATTTAAGAACGCCGTTAAGACTTTTGGTGGAGAGGGCATATTATGAGTTGGGAGAATACTATGGTGACACTTTTTAACTTTTAACTTATTTGGAATATATTATTGTATTTTTTGTATGGTACTTCAATTTCACTATTTGTGTGATTTTTAATAATTGTAAGTTTTATTGTATTTTTAAACCGTTTTACTTCCTGCTTTCTGTTGAGTATTGATTTGATCTCTCCTGTTCATCTGCTGCTTTTTAAAATTAAAATTTTATCTTTTTTTGAAGTTTACCAATATTCGTGTTAGACTTAGACGTGTTTGCTTGTTTTATATTTTATATTTTGTATGTTGACCTTATTGAAAAAAAAGCAAATACGTATTATGAAATGTCGCCCGATTTTAGCGTTTCTTTCATAATTCCCAAAAAAATTTTTTTTTAAATATTATTGACATAAAAGAAACTGAAAAAAGATTATCGCCCAACGTGGGGCTCGAACCCACGACCCTGAGATTAAGAGTCTCATGCTCTACCGACTGAGCTAGCCGGGCTTGGTCTGAAAACATGTTGAACCGCTATTTATGCTAGAGCCAAATTTATGGATGTAAAATATGTACTCATAACACTGAAAATATATTCAAAAGTAATTGGGAATTAATTCAAAAATGTTAATGATTTAGATTAAAATGTTTTAAATTTGCAATTTCCGTTAGGTAACTAGAATCGGTAAATAAAATTTGAAATTGAAAGAAAATAAGAATTCAGAAAAGCTCAGTCCAGTCACCTCATATTCTTAGTTAACGTGGTTATTCAACTATTTCCTATAAATATATTTGAAATGCAACAAAACTCATTATTTCTTTCCAATACCATGTTGAAACTTTTCAACAAATACTTAGAAGTAAATGAGAAGCAGAGCCAACTTATACCAAATTGTCAAGCCGATGCATCAAAAACACAAATGCAGGAAAGTTTACTAAAATCAATAACTGGCGTTTACCCTGTTTGCTCTGACGATTTTGGCATTTAAATTTTATAACTTAATTTGCATGAATACACATGCACCATTGTGTGTTTTTGTTAAGGTCAAATTTGCACATTTTTCAAGGGTTCAGTAGTATTACAGAAACACTTACGTAATTTCATAGTTTCAAACTATAGAAAACTCTAATTTTACTTGTAAATATTAAGGCGACTTTGAAGATACATTTGAAACATAGTACATAATAAAATACTCCCTACCTTGAGACACGATAACTGTCCATTAGCTTGTTTCAAGTATTGGCCCAATATGCTGGTAGGAAGTGTGCAAACCGAGTCTTTAATGTGCACGACATTAATAAGAGCTACCTGAAAAAATCAATCAAAGTCTTCAGCTTATTTAAAAAAAAAAAAATTGATCCTTACAGTTTCATCTGGATGAACATTTTTATCAATATCATTTCTAATCAGAAAGATAACAAGCGGATAGCAAAGTCGTGGCGGCGTTCCAAGATCCAGAGGCTTCAGTCCGTTGTAGTTCAGCGACATAACTTGATCAGGATGCGGTGTTCGGCTATACCAAAATAATAACTGTAATTCAATAACAGACCACATGCACAGATATTTTTGGAATCATTAGTTGATAATACTAAATATAATGTCAACAGAAAGTTGATACATACTTGATTTGAATTCCCAAATATTGATAGTAGCCTGTTAGGAAATCCCCTGCGATACAAGCATTTTTGATGTCAGCCCATGGCCGCCATAGGAACATGTGTAGCTCTTTGATGTTGACACCCCAATAAGCGTGGATTTGGTAGCGGACTTGGCTTGACATACTGCACTGGAGTTCTGGAAATAAAATTGAAAATTGTTATGTAAATCAAATAAAAATCACACAGCAATTATTCATATTATCTATGGATAGATTCCATAATAATATAATAATGAAAATTTTGAATTGATTGTAATGAAATCGTTTCATTACAATCAAGTTTTTTAAAATGTTCCTTCCTGGAAAAAAAAACATGTATCACCAATAAAATAAACAATTACAATTATCCATCTTAAGATTGGCGTTCTTGAACTTACCGATTTTCCAAATCTAGTTTATTAAACATTGAATATAACCGAGACCTTATAACCAATCAAAGGTTAGACGTGACCTGACTGTAAAATGGCAGTGTTATAAAAATAGCGCTTATCTTCTAACTTAAAGAATAGCACGATGTAGAATAATTAAATAGATTGAATATATTTCTATACAGAAGTCAAAAGGTTTCAACAACTTTTGCTTATCTACCTCTAAATCGAGTAAAATTGGGATAATTTGGCATCTATTGATTGATTTTTGTACAGAAAAATAGGTACTTGCTGTAATAGAGGTATATTCAACTGCAACTTGTATTTTAATATAGTATTTCGTGTAGGCATTGAGTCTTCCACTCCAATACTATTTTTGAAAATTTTGGAAAATCATAACTTTTTTTCTATCACAGGTAGAAAGCTGAAATTTTCAGCGATTCATATCCTCTTGAAGGTCTACAATCCCTGAAAATTTCAGCTCATTTGGACTTATAGTTCCAGAAATAAAATCGTGTTAAGCAATTTGGGGTGATTTTATCAATTTTTCAATTTTTCTGTGTCTTTTTTCATAGATTCTGGCTCTAAATCTCAAAATAATTTAGTGTATGGAGTTTGGGGGATCCCAAAGGACCATTAGGATACAAAATCCCAAAATTAAAATCGAAATTTCATCGTTTTAGTAGGTACTGAGCGAGGTACTGAGGAGTAATTAACCCAAAATCTCATAAGATCTACTGAAAATCCCTAAAAATCTTAGAAATCCCTAAAAATTTAACAAAATCCCACAAAATCTCTTGAAATTGCATAAAATCCCACAAAATCTAACAAAATTTTATTGAAACCAAAAAAATCCTGTAAAATCTCATAAAATCATTAACATTCCTAAAAAATATTTCCTTTGAAATTCCCAAAAATTCTTTCGAATCCCCAAAAATCTGGTCTCTTAGAATTCCATAATTGAGTGGAATTTCGAGGAATTTCGGTAGAATTATGTTATTCTGAAAAAGGAATTACATGTGAAATTTTTGCGGAGTTTCCATTGAATTCACACTAAATTTTAGTTCCTCTCGAATTCCATGAAATTTCAGTGGAATTCCATGAAATTTCAGTGAAATTCCGATCGAATTACCTACACGAAATCCTAAATAAATCGCATGGAGGAATTCTAAACAATTATATGAAATTACACCGAAATTCCCAACATGAAATTGCGGTTCTTACTGAATTTTAGTAAAATTCCAGGAATTCTGAAGAATTTCCGGCTAAAAACATGAAATTTCGGTGATATTTCGAAAAATTCCCATGTAACATAAAATTTCAATATTTTAGGGTGAGTTTTCGAGAAATTACTTGAAGTTTCATTAATATTCCCAGAAATTCCTAGCTATTAAAAGATAATTTTAGTGAAATTCCGAAAAATTCTTTTGAAAATAAAATAAATAAAATTTTGAAAAATTCCTTGAAGTTTCATTGGGTTTTCGAGAAATCTTCGGCTATGACCGTGGAATTTCAAAATATTCTCATAAAATTTTAGTGAATTCCGAGGAATTTTTAGGAAATTACATGAAATGTCAATGAAATTCCGAGGAATTTTATCAAAATTCTGTGGAATTCCAAGATATTTCAGTGGTGAAATTTCGGGGAATTTTAATAAAGGTAAAAAAAAAAATATGGAATTTTTATGGAATTTTGAAATTGAAATTTTACTGGAATTCCGAGGAATTTCATGAAATCCTATATACTGTCGTTCCGAAAAAAAATTGTCTAATAATTCCATAAAATCTTCTGGTGAAATGTTCAGGAATTTCTATGGAATTACTTAAAATTTTCGCGGAATTCCAATGGAATAACTTGAAATTTTAGTGGAATTCCGAAGAATTTCATTACATTTCATAGTGTTATCCCGAGGAGTTTTTTTTTAAAGAATTCCATTGAATTTTATTGTGGAGTTCCATGAAAACTTATGGTGAAATTTGAAAAATATTATGAAATCTTATAGTAAAATTTTTATGAATTTCCGTTTTTTCGCTCAAATTTACCATTGGAATGGAAATTCGAGGAATTTCATAAAATCTTCTGGTGGAATTCCAAGGAATTTCTATGAAATTAACTAAGATTTTCACGGAATTCCCATGGAATAACTTGAAATTTGTATGGAATTCCGAAGAATTTCATGAAATCTCATACTGTAATTCCGAGGAATTTTTGAGCAAGAATTCCATTAAATTTTATGGTGGAATTCCATAGAAACTTAAGATGAAATTCGGAAAAGTATTATGAAATCTTACAGTAAAGTTTCTAGGAATTTACCTTTTTCCATTCAAATTTATCACTTGAATGGAATTTCGAGGAATTCCATAAAATGTTCTGGTGAAATTCTAAGGAAATTCTATGAAATCGTTTAAAATTTTCGCGGAATTCCCATGGAATAACTTGAAATTTTAGTGGAATTCCGAAGAATTCCATAAAATCTTATATTGTAATTTCGAAGAAAAAAAAAACCAAGAATGCCATTGAATTTTATGGTGTGAAATGTGACATGTGAAATTTGTGCGGAGTTTCCATAGAATTCACATTAAATTTAATTCCTCTCGAATTACATGAAATTTCGAGAAATTACATGAAATTTCAGTGGAATGTCGATCGAATTAGATACATGAAATCCTAAGTTGCATGGGGGAATTCTAAACATCACATGGAATTAGACCGAAATTCCCAACATGAAATTTCAGTGCTCGTTAAATTATGTAAAGAATTTCGAAAAAGTTTCGAAAAATATCATGATTTCCGAGGAATTTTCGTGGAATTATATGGAGCTCCGATGCAAATGCATGGAATTCCAAGGAATTGTCAGGGAATTAAGTACGTGAAATTTAAGTGGAATTTCGAACAACTTATCGTTTCATAAGGAATTCCAGTGAAATTCCGAAAAATCCTAATGTAATAACATGAAGTTTTATTTTTATTCCAAGAAACTCTCAGTTAAAAACATGGCATTTTAGTGAAATTGAAATTCCGAAAAATTCCCTTTGAAGTTTCATTGGAATTTCGAGAAATATTCGACTAAAAACGTAGAATTTCAGTGAAATTTCAAAAAATTATCATAAAATTTTAGTTAAATCCCGAGGAATTTCTAAGAAATTACAAGAAATGTCAGTGAAATTCCGAAAAATGTTGTGAAAATTTTGTGGTGAAGTTTTGACGAATTTCAGTAAAGTTTCAAAAAAATTAGGGAATTTGGGATTTCTAGAATTTTGGAGAATTTCAGTGGGGTTTCGAAAAAAAAAATTATGAAATATTCGTAGAATTTCCATCAAATTATATATAATTTCACTTTGTGTCGACTCAAAATTTCGATGAAATGTCGAGTAAAATTCCAAGGAATTCTCGTCGAATTACATACCTGGAATTCCTTGAAATCTTATTTTGGAATTGCAGTGAAATTACATGGAATCAGTAGAATTCCCATGGAATTTCTGTGGAATTTCCATAGAACTACGAGAAATTTCAGCGGAATTCGGAAGAATTGAATTAAATTTTAGTGAAATTCTGATTTGGACTGGAAATAAAATCGTGTTAAGCAATTTGGGGTGAATTTATCAATTTTTCCAAATGATTATCAGAACACAAAATCTCAACATAAAAAAAATTAAAATTTCATCATTTTAGTCACGACTAAATGTTAAGGAATGCACAATCTCCTCTCCATCAATAACCAGTTAAATAACTCGATCATTTTGGGCTGTGTGGAGCGATCTTCAGAAACGTCCAGTTATCAGAAACTGTCCCTACGGATTTGATTTGGGAACCAATTCTGTCTTATCTGTTGTGTTTGTGTCTTCAAGATGAAGGGATAATAATAAATACAGGTTTCGTTAAACAGGACTTGCTTTATTAAATTGAAGAACTTAAAATGTGTTAAAACGTTTCTATAATTATGACAATGTGTCTGACTACTGTCACTATTATTAAACTCCTGACAGACAGGCAACATTTTATAGTTAAGGCAATGTTCTGCTAATACTAGTTGGTACAGTACCATGGAGTTATACAACATTATCTATCTACCCACCTATTCTCTTCACCAATAATACAAAAATCTGTTGTGATCCATCACCTGAAGAACTGTATTGGCTTATCAGACTAAAAGCTGAGAGATACACAGCAAGAACAAATATTTTCTACCTATTTTTATGATCTTGGATATGTATTTTCATGATGCTGTTAAGTTACATGTTCTATATTGACATCTTCTGAGAGTTGGCTTGCCTTTTTAACAGATTATACGAGAATTAGGAAAATACAAATTTGACCAATAATAGCATATCTGAACTCAAGCATCAGGGAAGATTAGATTGAATTTTATAAATTTGAACACCTCCTGCGATTTACTTGATATCCTCATATACTTTTTAAAGATACTTCACTATCCTTACTTATAGGACCTATTTCATGGGAATCATACTATTTTGAAACTATGTATAATGAAAAACTACATCAAATGCATATTCAAATAACTATGTACATACAGATACAAAATAATATATTTGTGCTGAATTATTTTTGAACTTTAGCCAAAAATCGAGTTGAAAAAAAAAAAATATTTATTTGATTTGCTGGTTTTATGTGGACATTATAAATTTATTTATATTTTTTCTGATCATAAAACAAAATAATCAATTTAAAGGTCAAGTTTTTATTAATATTTGTCCTGCAATATTTACTCATGAGACAATTTTTGAGTAAACATATCCAAAATTTCGTAA